ATTATACTGAACAATACACCTTCAGAGAAAGATACCTGGAGTGGTTTGGAGGTGCTCCCTGAGGGCTAAAGCACTTTTTGTACACTAAGATAAACAGCATAACTATGTCATTAAGTCAAAGAGCCTTAGAAATACAGAGCTAAGGTTTTCAAAACACAAGGTCAACGCGTGACCTTGTGAGACCACCTAATCCTGGGCAGCCCAGCCTCGTCAGCACTAGTGCTGGATGCTCACTGAGAGCCTCCTTGTAGGAAATGCTGATACAGCAATTCCAAATGCTAAACTGCTGACATGAAGAGAACTGTATGATGCAGGCTGTTGTTGTGTAGATATGCAAAAAGCAGTTCCATGTTTAAGCCACAGCATACACACAGATGGAATGGGAAGAGCCCACAAGCTAGAACAGGATGAGACAATTCCTGTCCATCTTCAGGGAGAGAAAGGAGGGAGGCTGCCCACAGATCACCCATGGCCCCATAGGGATAATATCCAGCCTCCCACCCTACCTCAAGGCAAAATCAGGAACACTGAGTAAGAAAGGAATGTTTCAACATCTCTAGGTTGTCTTCTCCAATGCTTTTTTTTCCCTTAAGGCTGTAGAGTCTTTAATTCACAGCCAAACAAAGGAGTACCATTTTCTGTAGACAAGCTTTAAGGGCACCAGAGACTCTTCTTTCCTTCTACCTGCAAGAGAGTATCACTCTTGTTGCTTTCATTTCAGTGCTATTCAGTTTGTTTACATCTCCCAAAATGCTATGGTCATTTGAAGCTTCACCAGCATTTAGGTTTTCCTCTCCAGGTACTAACACAAATTCTTCTCTTGAAACAGTCCCCAAAGTCATTTACTACTTTTACAATCCTACTGCTTTTAAGACATCTGTAACTTGTGACTTGACAAAACAGGTCTGTCTGTCCTGTTTTTCAAATTTATCATCATCTTAAATTCTGAGCATGTCCTTTAAAGCATCTACAACTGCTCCCGGCTTAGTATTAATAAAAATTCAGATGTTCTAATCAGTTTTAAGACCTTCCTCACTGAACATATATATTTTTTTAAGATGGTGGTATGGAACCACAATATGCTTACATTAACACTGATGCACAAGCAAAGATGCAACCCTGCATTACTACTAAACACATCTGGAGATTATCACAACCTTTTCAAGTTTTAGCCTCCATATCAGATTATTTTAAAATGACACAATACAAAATTGACAGTCTAAATACTTGAGTTTTTAAGTGATGAAATCCATTTAAAATGTTTTAGCGCATGTTCCAGCACACTTAGGGATCTCTGTACACAGTTTAAACACATACTAAAGCCATCAAAAATTATAAGAGTTCTGCAACTTCAACTTATTTTCAGGCATTTCCTTTGCCATCTTCAACTATTCTACAAGTTAATGCTTCAGATGAGTGATAACTTCTCTTCAGAATTGTTCAGACATTTACTACAGTTCATATCTTATTGCTTATGTTCCTCCACAGCCAAAGGCCACCAGATTTGTGTAAAATAATTACAAGCTTTTAAAAATACCCAAATCATATCAGAGTAATTTTGAATTTTAAAATAGCTTCTTCAAATGCTTTACGTTACCGCACTTCTTTCTCAATGAAAGAATTGTGCGAGGTCCTTTTACTGAAGGCCAGGTATTTCAGAGAACTTTGCAGACTAGGATCAATTTTCTGGCATCAACAGCATACAAATACAGAATATGATCCTAGAAGTCATTTTCTCTCTTGCTATTTTTGTAGCTCAAATATATCTATAAAATAGTTAATGTGCTTAGGAGTATTATACTTCTTGTTCTGCTCTCACCAACTAATGAGATTAGTTGTGTGTCCATGTGTGTGTATTCCTTTTTTTCTTAATACATATGAATTGCTTTATGTCACTATAGACAATAGTGTTTTCTTTTCTACATGAGTACAGTCAACTGAATACTCTTTAAGGATTAATTTTCCAGTTTCTCCTTTCTTCAGGCCTTTCTTAAACTAAGCTTGAGCTCCAACTATGAGCAAATGACACTAGAGACTACCTGATTTGATACAAACATCCTATATGGAGTTAAAGATTCCTTCTGTAATGATAGCTCAGTCAGATTATTTAACAAACCACACGGAAAAAGTAGGAATCATAATTAAAAGGAGATAAGGCAAGTACACTTCAAATTCAATCCATCTGAATTGATGAGTCTTCGATTCACCTTTTAGAAGGAAAAGTGATAAAGATCACAAGCAATAGAGAATTACCACAACTACAGATTATCCAAAAGTGAATTTGTCAGATTTGGTCCCATAGAACCCAATCTTTCTCTCACCACATGTAGGCAGCCAGAGCTGCTAACTGGTTTGTCAGGTTTTTGGGTTTTTTCTTGTCTTTCAAGGTAACTGTCCATTTCTGCACACAGGCACCCACATTAATAACCTGGTATCAGCACCTTAGGTAACCAGTTATTCTCCTATCACACCACACAGAAACAAATACGTATTCTGCATTCTGTGATGAAAAAATCCAGTTTCTAAAAGTTCTACATTAGGGCGCATAACCCTTTGGATCTGGGAAAAAAAAATATGTCAGGGAACATGCTGGCTCCCTACTTTGTCTGTATTTTATCATCTCTTTCAAATGAAGACACGTAAGTCCATTTCTCTATCAAAACTTGCCTTATATTTTGACTGCCCAAAAATGCAGGTATTTGCTCAATATTTGCAATTAGAACTACTGCTACAAATAAATTAATCTTTTTAGAATACTTCAGCAGATGGTTTTCCATCCTTTGAAGAAGTCACGTAATTGAACCTGACCGCTAAACCTAACTGACTGTTACTGTGAAAGCAATAACAGCTATCACTGAAAGAGTGAGAGAGCTAATGTAGATTTTTACCCTTTAAGCAGATCTGCCAATAAACTAATGCTGGCCATCAATTCTCATCCTACAGTCCAGAACTCATTTTTACTTATGCACAACTATTGGTCTCCAAGTTACAGGTAAATCCTATGGGCAAATGAAATCCAGAAAAAAACCCTGAAGATTGTTATTGGTTTTGAAATTTTTACCCTAGGTACATGTCACTTACCGGTGAAAATCAAGTACATTGACTAATTAGTCTACTAATCCAAAAGGAGGTATTGGTAATTATGTATTCAAAAAAACCCCCAAAATCAGGCCACACACTATCATAATACATGACTTGTGGCTATCCTGCTCTCAGCTACAGCATCAATTACACACCTTTTCATTCTGTAACTCAGCACTATACAAGCACCAACCCAAACCATCCCTCCCTGCCCAGTTTTTTTCCAAACAAGGTGAGAAGATACACGTGAACAGCCTGTAACTCCCTAAAGAGTTAAAGATGAGTCCAGATGTTCAATGGAAGAGATGTCAGTTAAACTAGTACCATTCCTAATTTAGTTGAACTAAATTAGCTGAAGACTGTTAATTATTTAGCTAAATACCAAATTAAGTTACAAACTTTTTTCTAACAATTTTGTCTCTGGTATTATAATTCCAATTAAGATGTTGACAAATTCACACAATTTGAAGGCTCTTGTGAAAGAATCATATTTAACTGTGTGTTGCAATCTTATGACATCAATGCCAACAGGGCAGAAATCTGCTGCACTGAGCGAAGGAAGCACTCCCATCCTACCATGTCTCAGATGACACACAAAAAAATGTAGACCTGAAAGGAGACATATTATTCTGTCAAGAACAAAAACAAAAAAAGACAAACCAAAAAGCCAAAATAGCCAAACCCAACAGAATTGACAGAGAGGTTGGAGGGCAGCAAGACTGCCTTTTGGAATACCTACCCATAAGCTGTCAGATTGGTCCACACTACAACAAGTCTCTCAGCCACCACAAAATTAATTTCTGAATCAATGCAATGAATTAACTAGAGCTGTACTTAACACACATGAATTTTGTCCTTTTCTGAGATGAGGTAAGCAAAAAGACAGAACTCCTCACACAACAAGCATACATAGATGTTACCTGCTGTCAGTAATGAAGTAACTATAACTTACACCTATTCTAAATGCAAGCATTCCTAAACCTCCTCCTATGCCTTAATAAAAACTGTAATACAAAAACACGCGTGAACTGGCAGTACGGCAAAGTATCAGTGTCAACAAGGTACCTCCTTTATGGAGAACCCATGCAGCTATATGTTAGCTGCTGCAGAGGAAAGAGTGCTTTTGTTTTGTTACTAGGTTGATAGAGATCCATTCTGGTGTTGTTTTGCATTGTGCAGGAAGAAGCAGTAGTTACAAATTCCAGTAAATGAAGTTTTGCCAAGACAGATGATCCTTCCTTCCTATGTTATAGAACAATCACAATTTCAACATGTGGGCTGAACAAGAATTGGTATAGCACCATAGCTTTTGTTTTATATACAACTATAATTTCCTTAAGAAAATAAACTGCAAGTTTATTGTGTTGGCAAACCTGACTTGTTCATGTTTAGGTTCCAAATTCATTATGAACAAGCATAGTACAAAATCAACCATGCACAAGACAACTTTAATAAAAGGATATGGTCCACAGGGAAGGAGATTCCAAGATACAGAACAAGATTCTAGATTGTTAAAATGGACCACATTTCCATAGTGAAGATAAGCCCATCATCTGACTGTAGTAAACATGCACAAGCCACAGTCTGGCTCCCTTGGGGAGGGTTTCATGATTCCCAACAAGATCTCTTGCAAAGAACTCAAGAAAATCCAATACAAATAAAAAACACCAAACAGAAAGAGTTAATGCACAGGGGGGAAAAAAGAAACCCACCATCTGCATTACATGCTACAAAGAAAAAGTTGCAAAGAGGCAAGTCTCTTCATTAACTTGCACATTTTAATTCAGAAAACCTTTTTCCAAAGGAGGAGAAAGGGGTAGGAGGGTGCAGATTTTCCATATTCAGTTAACTAGGAGCAGCAAACTCCCCCCCTTTGTCCCTCCCCTACAACTACTAGCTTCACACATCTGCATTGTTACCTTCACTTTTTCTCTTCTCAGGCAGCAGAAAAGACAATTTTCATCAAAAGACCAATCAGAAACACCTTCAGGCTCACAGTCTGTAAATCAGAAGAATAGCAAATTACTTCATATTCATAAACCATGACACAACTGGAGCCAAAAGAGAAATGCTGAATTAAATACCTGTTTCACAACATTCTTGCCTGCATTCTGAGGATTCAGGCTTCATTTCGGCCATTTTTCTAAATCCCCAGATTACCAAACTATATACATTTTATCTGTGCACAACAAATCTGTTTTTCTGAGCACTGCAAAATACACTCCCAGCTACATAAAGATGAACGCACACTCATTAGTAATTTTAGCCAATATGAAACTAACTGTGAGCACTGCTTGGGGGAGGGGGAAAAAAAAGCACAAATCACCACGGTAACACACATTTTCTAGAGGCAGAGCTGAGGCTGCTTCTGTCATTAGAAATGCAGAACAAGATACAAACATAGAGACTGAATACCTTTAAACAAACTGAGATCTTTTAATAATCCAGGTCCAAACAGGCCTTCTAGAATACTTTCAAACCCTAAAAGCAAATAAAAGAATTGTTAGCTTTCTAGATTAGTACGTCACTACAATATTCACAATAGCAGTTCTATATTTATCTGTTCCAAGAACAGAGCTCAACATGTTTTCTCCAAGTATTACAAGATACATGGGTCAATTATGATGACTGAACTACTGATAAATCATAGCACAATCTAGAGACCACTGACTCCTGTACTTTTCTAAATAGCTCAGCTAAAAACAAAGAACATTACAACATTGAAATAATCCACTTTGAAAAGAACATAGCAAGCTGCAGCTTCTACAAGATCACAGAGTAATTTCTACACAAATAAAAATACTCTCATTTAAGCCTCCAAACTGAAAGAAGGTACATTTTTCAAATTAAAGAAATGCATTCTTCCATCTCAGTGACATTCAGTTACTTTTCTGAATTTCAGTAAACATTAGAATCAGTGTTTCCTGAAGAGTAGCAGTTGTGAGGAGAGAAAATTAAAAGGAGAGGGATTCAACGTTATCATATCACTAGAGAATGAAATTTCAATCACAGATCTGCATCCAAGACACAAGCAGTCCAATTTACTTCAATGCCACAATTTATACCTCACTTAAAATAAATCTAATCAATTTGAGTTTATTTCAGAAGAGGTAAAATGTGCACCAAAATTACTGCCATTATTTGGAAAAGTTAAATCAATATAACACTAACCCCCTGCTAGTGGTAAAAAATCTACAGAGCTATTAACTACCCAGTACTAGTACTGTGAGAAGATGGGTTACCAGAGTAAGTATGAAAAGTACAAAGATTACTGTAAGGGTGATAGACAAATTCCACCTTATAAAAATGTATAAAAATGGAGTGACCAGAAAAATTTGAGACTGTAACTTACTATATTGCCTCCCCTTCCCTGCCCCCTCCAACACCTTTGCTTTGTAGGTTTAAGAATGGTTTGCAAGTAGCTAGGGGCTTCTAGCTTCTCCTACTTGTTTGAGTCTTTGAGTGGCAGAGGAAGGAAAAAGAAACAAATTAAGAAACAAAAATATGGCATTACATTTAGAGAAACTTGCATATGTGAATCAGGGACAGATAAACTACCTAAAATAGTAATGTTTAAGATATCAGTCAAAATCAAGATCATGTACTATGAAGAAATAGTTTATTACACTTCAAAAGAGCAGTAATTCTAAAATAATTCTGATTTCATCCAGATCTAATATCTAAGTTATGTTTTGAACAGCAGTCTTCAAAAGGAAAAGACAAATAGTATTACACCCCTCTGGGTGTCAGCAAGAGTGTCAGTGCACCAACATCTTTATCCACTGGATGCAGGATTCTACAAAATTTGCAGCCTGCAACATGATTTAGATGGCTAAAGCATTGCTGAGGTACACTAAAAATCTAATCTCAGAAAGGACCAAGAAAAGAAAAAAAAAAAAAAAAAAAAAAAAAAAAGTGAACTAACAGTCAAGAGTGAAGAGAAATAGGGACAAATCAGAAAACAAGGTGGAAGAGGAGAAACTGAGAACTGGAAACACATTCCATTGAACAGCACCTTGTCAGGCAGAGAAGTAGCACTGCCTCCAAAAAAAGCCAAATCAGGCTTCAGGAAGTGGCAGGAACAGAGGGAAAGGACCGACCAACCTGACCTAGAAGAAAAATAGGAGAATCAGGGTATTGACCCATAGGTTTAACGTTGAATAGCTTAGAACGTTTGTAACATATGGGTAGTGACCCTCAGAATTTGACTCCTAAATGAAACCTTAAGGAAAATAGCTAACCAACCTTGCTCTTTATCTTTTTCTTTAAACCTTATGGGGTTTTATATATATATATATGTATAAAAATCAAAATACTTTAGAAATTTTACTCAAACTCATCAATCTCTTAATAGTAACTGCCAGTGACTCATGCCCCACAGTTTGCCATGCATGCAATTGCACACTGAAGTCTCTGCCAAGTTTTACAGCTTGGATATTGTACGATCATAGTTTGCTAGCCCACTGTTCTGAGTGATGCTAATGCCACTCGGGTTTTATTAATATTAAATATTGGATTTAGCAGTTGCATAGCAACAGCAGAACATCTTATGTGCAATGTTTGACATTAAAAAAGGCAAATAAGGGAAGTATGAATGTATTCAAAAATTATACTAGAGACTGGTAAAACTGCCATAAAGCTGAGCCCTTTTCCCCCCAAATGCAAAGTGCAATGCAGCAAAGGCAGTTTAAGCCCTGTGATGTCGTGTTCAGTCATTCAGGGCTCCAAAAGAGCAACTGTGTACAGTTAACCATGCAGAATACATTGAAAACAAAATCTTGAAAAAGGAGCTGCCTACTTTTTATAGTATTTTTTCTCTCCATTGTCACTGCTCTTAGAAGCTTGAAAAGAACATTTCTTTTCCCACCGACTGTCCTTTTCCATTTGGCAGATGATATTTTCCTGCATTTCAAATGGAACAGAAATTAACATGGCCGCCTCTGCTAAATTCCAGTTTCTATATTTTCATCATCTGTATTTCAGTGTCTGACAGTTCATAGCAGCTGAAGAGCAGAGCCAGTGGAAAAGTTGCAGGAATAACAGAATTAGAAGAAAGAAAAAGAAAGAAGATTCCAGTATTTTAGAAATCAATATTATTTATATATGAGATTAGATTTTCAGTATCAGTTGTATTTAGATCTGATATGCTTTTCACAATCAAAGCAGCCACATATTTAACACTTACAAATACTACTGGTGACCTTTACAATGAAAAACATTTTTTGGATGTTAGTACAAGAATTTAGAAAAAAATATTTTAATTTAAAAAAACCCAACAAGTTTATAAAGTGTAAAACATCTTTCTTTTCCAAAGAGGCTCTCTAAGAAGTGAAGAATTAGAAAAAATAAATCCCAAAACAAAGAAAGAAAACCCTTAGTACTGAAGCAAGGGTGGAATAACTTTTTTAATGCAGAGGTTGTTACACACTTATACCTATTTCACAACTTTTACCTCTACAAGTAAAGCATCCTCTAAAACATTCCCTGATAAAAATCAGAACATGTATGTGCCATTTTTCCACTAAGGGTAGCAAGGAAGGAAATTAAAACTAAACAAGGCAGGGGGGAGAAGGTTGACTATGCAGTCTTCAGCATGATCAATTTTCACTAGTTTTGTCTACGCACCTGAACAGTTTTATTTTCATCTTTTCTTGGCATTTTTACCCATCTGTAACCAAATATTTTGTCATAAATTTAAACTGTAATTGCAGTTTGATGGCTAATGGTTTAAGACAACAATTTAACAAAACAGTTTCATTTAAGCTGTGTAAAGAAAAAAAAAAAAAACAAGTCAGACCCTCATGTCATCTTCTCCCTTAAAACTGAGAGCCCTTGTGATCATTAAGTAGCTACCAGGCTTCTTGAGATAACAGTATTAGAGAAGTCGATAGCTGATAGTCTATGGCCACTCTCTAATAATGCCGATTAGCCAAAGACACATCCTCTACTATAAAAATTAGGAATGCAAGATCTTCAGAAAAAGATAGGGATGCATTTCTGGAGTGCCATTGACACAGAGCCTAGTAAGTCAAATAATGTTTTTTTCCTTCTCAAGACAGCACAGCTCAAATATACCTTTGAATAATCATTACATAATTCAGCCCTAGATATGTATCTAGTCAAAGCAGTAAAGCTTGACTTTAACTTAGAGGTACAAATCATTTTGGGATAGTAAAAAGGCACACACTACAATTGCTCTGAATGTAGTATTGAATAAAATGTTAACTCAAAAAATCAACACAGCAAAGGCAGAAAACAAAAAATCCAACATACATAATTGTCCACTCCTCAACCCTTATCTGTGCATATCAATTTAATCTGTAAATATCAATTTATAAACTAGACCTCAACAGACTAAATAAGTACTACCCAGGCCAGCAGTTAAGTACAATAGGTCATAGAACCAGAGAATAAGAATTTCCAGAGTTGGAAGAGATCCACAAGGATCAAATTCAACTGCAATGAACTAGTTGCAATAGAAATTAAGACAAGAGATTCATCAGTATTTATTTATAATAAACAGCCAAATACATAGCAATTTCCACATTAAAAGGACAACTTCAAAAAGCTGGAAATTGAGTCAAGTCACTTAAGACATTAGTTTGCTATATATTTTGTTTTAATTTCTTAACCAGCTAAGAATATACTAGAAACCATCAAAACCAGGGGGAAAAAAACCTGACCTGCTAAATGGGAAAAAAAATTTTAAAACTAACAAAACCCAAACCCAAGTGACCAAGAGTAAAAACACAAAAAGGAGACAACCTGTTGGATGATGGACAGGAAGATTCAGAGCACAGAAGATAAATCAAAACTCAGAAATGTTGCAAAAGTCAGAGAGGAGATGCACACAGCTTTAAAGTAGGCAAAGATAAAATCAAAACCAATGCACATATACATTGGATTTTTTAGGTAATATATGTAAGAGTATGGTAGTATATTACAAAACATTCAATAGAATGGCATATAATCATTCAACAAAATCTATCAAGGTGGTGTTAGTAACATCTGTAACTTGTCTTAATATTCAATGAATATGTGTTGGTTTTCTTTCTGTGAGTTACTCAAAGAGTATTTGCAGCAGTGTTTAATACCAGAAAGTCTTGAAATATTGCAAAAGTCCCAATGGGCTCCAAAAAAAGGGGGGGAAAATGCTTTGAAATGTCACAACATTAAACAAGTTAGTATCAGGGTCTCAAATTGATAAAGGTTTCCAACACCAATGAACAGTTCTCAGGAATTGATAGCAAAAGTGGTATCAATCAACACAGGCTAACAGAAATTCTTATTAGAATCTTAGAAAACTAAAATTTTAATTAACAACAGGTTTGATATAATATTTTTAGCCTTTTGGACTAGAATTGACATATCTTGACTAAAATCAGAAATTAAAAGAAAACCCAAAATTTAAAAAAAAACCCTAAGCCAAACCAAACAAAAATCAGTCAAATAAATACAAAACATTAAAAATCAATTAAGTG